TTTTCCTTTTAGTGTAATTTATGGTGTTTCTCTCACCTCTTTATTTCTGTAAACTGATAGTTGCATCTAGAGGCTTGATTACATTCAGATTCATCTGGGGAGAAGAAGGTTTTGTTTTGTTTTGTTTTGTTTTGTTTTTTGAGAGTAGAGGTTTACAGAACTACTTTGTAGTAATATTTTGTTCTCCCATCAGGAAGCATGTATCATTTGATTGTCTTCTTCTGTGTGTGATGTTACCAGCTGTTGATGCTCACTGCCTAGATCCATTAATTGTTAATTCTGAAAAAAGAACCCCTTTTGAGTTGGACAATGGTATAAACACCACATATATGTATACATACATCCATATAGACACATTTCTGGGAACAGATATATCTCAAGCCAACTCTTGTCTTTTTCTTAGCAACCTCTTTTGTCTCATTATTACTTGTTCTTAAACCATTCTTGCTTTTCAATTCTTTTTTTTTTTTTTGTGCTGTATGAACGAAGACATGTATAATACAAAGTGGTGTCCCAAATTTATACTAAGAATTTTCCAAAGGAAAAACAATTGTTTTAGAGGAGAGGAGATAAGAATAAATTAAGAGGAAGGAAGCATTTATAAAAGATAAAGAGGCCACAAAAAGGGTGTGTCTGAGCGCAGTATAAATTTAAATGTAAATTCTGCCCAGAGAACATTTACATCAGTAAAGTGACATTTTAGAACTATGAAACATTTCAAGCTTGAAAAATTTGAACAGGGAGATGAAAAGAAAAACTGAAACATACCCATAGTTATAAAGTTTTCTGGATGAGAAGGATAAAAATATGTCAAGATTCGCTCACATGTCTTAAGAACATGGGACTCAAGTGGGAGAAGTAACCATTTGAGTTTTTTGTTTCGTTTTCTTTCTTCATGAAGCATGTATTTTAGGGTAAGCCAGTTCATCAATGCCCTTACATCTGGGGTCAGGCTGGGCAATTTCATGCCATTTGACTTAACAATTTAAAGACTTCTGAGTGGCAGTGATAATATGCTGATGTCTGGTATGGGTGTTCTCATGTCTGTCACAACATGAAAGGTGTTCATTTAACAGAGACACAACAGAATCAAATAAACAAGGCATGTGTATCTGTTTGCAAAGGTTGGGGAGGGTGGTTTCCTCTCATTCAATTAAAGATAAAAAATATTACACCAAGTAAAAATATTTTCACCAAATAAAATTGAAAATGTGCTATGACTGTTTCCTCTCACCCCATTGTTTGGGGGTTGGGAGAAGGGTTCTTTTTTTAATTTCCTTATTGAGATATAATTCACATAGAATACAGTTCATCCACTTTAAGTGCACAACTCAGCATTTTTTAGTATATTCAGAGGGCTATACAACCATCACCACAATCTAACTGTAGAACATTTTTATCTCCCCTAAGACTAACACCATAGCCATTAGCTGCCGCTTCCCACTCTCTGAATCCCCTACTGTCAGCCCTAACCTTTTAATTGCTGGTCAAACCCTGTCCCCTTGAAATACTTTTTATTTTATTTTAATTTCACATTATCACATGAATAAGAACAATAGAATAGATCCCTCAAAAACATAAATGCATATCAAGAAATTGTGACAGAGTAACCCATAGAAATATTGTCAAAGCCAATAGCAACTGATATGGTTAAATAAATAATTGCCAAGCAGTGAAGCTGTGGCAATGATGACAGATTATGGTATCAAATGTTAATAGTCAAATGTTAATAATTTTAAATATAAACTTGAAACAGGCTCAGGTAACAGAAACTTGTCTTGCTCATCTGAACAATAGTATTTGCAAATTCAAATCCTGATTTCACTCCTCACCAACTGTGTGACTCTGGGCAAGTAACACAACATTTATAAATATCAGTTTCCTCATCTGTAATATAAGAACGACAATGATACCAACTTCATAAAGTTAGGGTAGAGGTTAGAAATTGTAGAGTTTTTAGAGCCAGGCCTGGCACATAACAATTGGTCAATAAACATTAGTTGTTGTCACTTTTGTTCATATAAACTCAACAATTCAGGTCAAATTCCAAAATGGAATTCTTAGCTATGTGAGCTTGCCACATATGATTGGTATTTTCAAAATCTATATTCAAAAAAGTTTCCTTCCATGAAAGCAATGGGTCGGGATTTAAGTTATTGTAATGTAGAGAAAAAGTAGCATTGATCAGTGTGATTAACAAAGCTGTAAACCAGTCTTCAGTTGCTTTAGAGCCATGCGTTCTAGAAATAGTAAAAGTGTTAATTTATTATTCTCACCTAACACTCGTGTAACAGATTTTTCTTTTCTAAATTAAAAGAAAAAATAACAACCAAAAAAATCTTATGTAATGGTATTAAACATCTCTAATAAAAAATAAAGAATAGTGTGAGGGCATCATAAACCACATGTAACCTCTTAGAGTTGAAATGTTTAACTAAGACCCTAAATGTGTGACTTTTGAATCTGTCAGTGTGAACTTAAAGTTGTGATTTGGTTTTGTATCCATAAATATAAGGCAGTGTAACCACCAATTATTTCATTAACCTATTCTTTAACCAATTCAAAATGGCTTTGGGTAATAAGACTGATATGTTAGATGACTTTATTTTTGAGGAATTATGTAGTTTCTGTTCTTTTAAAAAGTGTGGTGCTAACTATTATGTCCCAATCAGATGACTCATGATACACAACATTTTCATACTTGGGAAATTTTAACACATTACAGTCCCTGTTTTGAAAAGATAAAAGAATTAATCACAAGCAACACATTTTCATTTTCCTTTGACCCCATGAGACAATTTAAATGATGTGATTTGCATGTGGCCCCATTTTGTGTCTCAAAGGCCTCCACATTTTCCATCTGTGTCTTCATTTTAACCCCAGGCTTTACTCCTGTTGGCACTGCTTTTGTATTTGCATGAAAATTTGTAAATTCTTTTTTGCATGACAAGTCATTCATAATGTTGCAGTTAAATGTCTAACATATCTTGCAACGTCATGTGTCATTAATTCTTACATGATATTTTTTTTCTTTTATTTTCAGTTACTGAAGTTTAAATATGCTTGAAATGTAAAAGTGGCATGAAACTGGAGTGATGCAAGAATATTTAGTGTTCCTTTAAAAAACTTACCATTTTTTCACTGGAAAAATTGGGGGGGAGTTCCCAGCCTTATCTTTGAATACCAATCCTCAATTATAAATTATGATAAACCTATATTGAACATAAGTGCTGGGTAATAAATTCTGAAGTGATACTTCTTTTTCCCCCTGAGAATGTGTTTCTACTTCTTGAATATGAAGTACAAAATGTGTCCCTTAATTTCATAAATTATTAAATATTTGATGTATTGTTTTTCTTAAAGCCTTCTTCATGATACATAAGATTAAGCTCCCCTGACTTTGGTGAAAGATTCTAGTAACTATAATAGAAATGAATTACTGAATGACAGCACCAACATTTTACTATAATACTTTAACATTTCCTAAACAAACATGATGACCAAATTGGATGTTTGATATAGGAGTGCATGAATATACAAAGAAAATAAGTTATCCACACCATTTTGTCAAGCTTCAAATCCGTAAAGGCACATAACTGATTCCCGCCAATGGGCCAAAATACACACATCCAAACAAGTGCTTTTCTTTCCAAGCAGTCATCTTACTGGCTGTACATTTATCCCACTAACTGCCATTGATAAAACTGTTCTAGAATACCTTTTGTCAAATTGCCTTCAGAGTCTATTACATTCATCATAATACCTATGGGGTAACATACCTTGTTTCTCAGACATTGACCCTTAGAGCCAAGTCAATCAAATAAGGATGGCTATCGAGCTGGCGAAATATATTTTTTAAATGATATGTGAATATGAAATTACTAAGACTTGCATGGCTTATAGTTTATAACATAACTGTGAACACATTTCCCAAAGAAGGACCCCAGAAAGCAACAGTGGGAATAAATGAACTTTTCTTGAGTCTTTTAGGCAAGCATCTGATATTCACTTGAATGAATAAGTTCTAATATATGTATTATATTATGTATATATGTATTATTTTAAATTCAGCCTCATTTAAGCTAATGGAATGGTTTACATCTTTAAGGACAATCCTTCTTCCATACTTTTTTATCATATCAGAATATAGATAAGTAACCATTATATCTCCCTTGCTTGAGTGAATATCAACTTAATACCTCTTCAGTAACAATTTTAACAGATTTTTGGTTGACTGTGTCCTGATTGCACCAGCTAGCTCTGTCGTATTGTCAAGGGACTCAGCCTCTCTGTGCCTCTGACCCCCTGTCTACAAATGAGGACTTGGGGCTCAATTATCTTTAACATCTCTTTGAATGAAAATATTATGCGATATTGTATCTGTGTGTGAAACAGCTATAATTGTCATATATCGGAAACCCCCACACTTCTCTTGTGGCTTTAATTAAATCAAAGCTGAAGTAATTCAAATATAAGTTATTTAAAAAGACATCTAGACACTGATGTGTCTAGTGACACTAGTAATATATTTTCTACCTAATGATAATGATGATAAAGACATTTGTATAGTACTTTAAGTTGCTATTGCCTTACATGAGGCTTACACTTTAAGAGCTGCTATCATTATCCTCATTATGCAAATGAAGAAGATATTGAGGGTCAGAGAGACTCAGTTGCCTATCTGAGGTGATAGACTGGCAAGGTGTAGAGCCAGACAGAAACTGTCAGACTTCTGCTTCCAATTTAATGCTCTTTTCCTCCATCACCATATCAGCAACCCGTCTTTTAATTAGGAGACAATTTTCCAAGGTATCATCATTCCAAAATTTACACTTCTTGAAAATAAATTCTGCCTTTAGGAACCTTCTGGCACCTCTTTAGACTACCCACTTGCGTCACTGCAGCTCTCTCTGCTTTTACAAACTAGTTGTTTTGTCAGCATGAGTGTGACAACAATTAGACGTCCCCTGTTTTTGCCCCATGCCTTTTCTCCTTCACAGTCATTCAATGACAAGCGTAAAAAGAGCTTCATCTTTTCACGAAAATTCCCATTCTACAAGAACAAGGAGCAGAGTGAGCAGGAAACCAGTGATCCTGAACGTAAGTAGATTCTCAAAGAGAATGTCACATGCAACACAGGAGAAAAAAATCCTTCACGGGCAACACGCATGACGCAGGTTCCCCCACGCCACATGCCTAGGCAAACAAACATGGCAGGCAGGCAGGTCAGGGCTTACTACTGTGACCGGTGTTGGGCTGCAGTCTGGATCCGTCCCTTGAGGAAGCTCTTCTTTGAGGAATGCATTGGAGAGGGACTTGAGGAAGCTGGGACTTTGCTTCCAAACATTTATCTGTGACCAGGACTGGGTCTGGTTTGCCTTTTCTATCATGCAACTCTCTCGGGCTCGAGACAAATTCTATTCTGGACAGAAACATTGGATTCCATTGCCACGTACCTTTTTTTTGAAATGCTAGCTAATTGGGAGCAATTAAATTCCTTATATTGATTGCTAGTATTTGTTCATTCTTTCCCTCCCAACAAATATTCAACACTTACTGAGCAGTGAGCTTGTATTGGTGGATACTAAATCTAAGAATGTGTCATGAAACTTGGAGTGGATCATTGCTCTAAGTGGTTCAGTTCTGTGGCAACATTGGCAGTGGGCAAAAATGGCATCTGCTGAATCTTTCTCTTTTTTTGTGACCATCTTTGCTTACATCTTTCGAGTTGCTGTTTACACATCTTTGAGTCTCAGCCCAGAGAGTTTGGGGTGAAAGTTGTTTCAAAAGAAGAGAGATTGGGATCCAGATTGCTTAGGCAACACGGTCTGTCATGGTAGTATCCATTTCAACTCCACTGACTTCTTCCTTCCTCTTCCGTGGCTGTTCTTCCTCTCTCATTGCTCTCTCTGGGGACTTCCATGCAGGACATCCCCGGATTAGGTGACGACGGTTATGGAACAAAGACTCTGAGTAAGTTCCCAGGAATGGTCACTGTAACTTTTCTTTTCCCTTCCTTTTGAGTTTGGCTTTTGTTCCTTTTCTTGAGGGCCTTTCACTCCTAGCATGCACAAGATACGAGTTTTATTTGTTACCTAGCTTTGAATGCTCCTACAAAGTAATTTTGAAACGTTTTGTTCTGCATGTCAGCATTGAAAAGCAAAGTGTGTCAGGCACTGTAACTTCTGTTGCAGTTTACGACTTCCCTTTCTGACCATGGGATATGACCAACATGGTCCTGATGCCACCTGCTGCATCCCTTGCTCTGCTGCCTAATACCTCCCGGAGAGCAAGAAGCCATGTTGAATGAAAGGGCAAGCTAAATGTTCCAGAACAGGAAAGCAGAAACGTACTTTATGTCCTTTCCTCTGCCTTTTCACCCAGACCTTGCCAAATTCAATAATTGGGTTGTACATGGCTATCATTAAAGGAGCTATTTTACAGCCAAAAGGAACATGCATTCTCAAAAAGTAAATATTAAGCTATATGATCTTCCATGAATAATTCTTTGTTATTAACTTTGATTGATTTTTTTTCTAACTTGCAGTGGTCCTGCTTGAAACGTTTGTATGATAAAGCTTTAGATATGTATTAATATGTTTCTCTATTAGTGATGTATTAGCTGCATTATGTAATCAGATTTTCATTTTATAGTGGAAAATAAAATATATTAAACCTTTAAATCTTTTAGTTATTAATGCCTTTAGTCTGTGTCTCATTGCACTAAGCAATAAAATATAATCACCCTGTATGTTAATATACTATGCTATGATTTTTCTTTCTTTAATACTAACTCCATTGTGTAGGCACCAGTGAAATAAGAACAGCGTTTTGTGTCTTTTGCAACTGAATCACATATTCAAATTTTGTTTGTTTGGTTTGGTTTTAATTTAACAGCTATGGGCAATATTTTTAGAAGCTGTTCATTTTATTTGTATAAAAATATAGCATTGAGCTGAACTTTGTTTTCAAGAGCTGTTTACATAACCCTGCGTACTGATACCCTTCAACCTTCAAATTGTTACTTTGGACTTTTTTTTAAAGATATATATCTACAGAAAACCAAATCTGATCAAGAGTAACTACTGATCTCCTTTAAGATGAAAACTTTATCTTTAAGTCTCTATAAGGAATAGGTCATCAAATTTTTCTTGAATTCGTGGCTAAAATTCAAATATTGATTTCAACATTATCTGGATAACACCAAGTACCACCAGAGAGGATTTCTAAATTTTCAGTTGAAGGGGAAGAGGGAAGCATTTTAATACAGTGCTAATAAATGAACATCACTAAAAACTAGTTGCTGTTGGAGTGTCAAAAATATGAGTGATTGATGCCTTTTAAAATCCAGGATGTGTAAATGTTTCTTTACTCTTTAAAAACTGAACAGATTTCATTAGGTAAAGTCATTTGCCAATTAGTGCTATTGTTAGCCATAATTTAGACTTTAGCTGGAACACATTTTCCATTTCTTTTTACCTACAAAATGGGAAAATTCTGTTATACAATATCTTGATGCTAAGAGAGATTGGTTGTTAAGTTAAACACGGCATGGTCCTAAATTTCTCCACAGATGGTGTAGCTTCATTCTAAATTATTTTAAAAGTAAAAATCAAAAACGAATAAACAAAACCCTGCCACCCCCAATTCTAGATACTTAAGATAATCATGTACATACAGATAGGCCATTGTTGGGTGTGTGCCTTGACTTTCTTTTTGGTAATAACAGAAAACAAATTTGCACTGATTTATCCTTCCCTACTGCCACTCTGCCCTTGTAAAATGTGTGCCCAATTAGTGATTCAGCTCCGCTCATGCACCAACACACAGGGAAACAATGCTCATGAATTTAACCCATGCTTTGGTTTTCATTAGTTTCATGCTCTAAAACTAATCCATCCCTAATGTGTTAATTAACTCAATTTGGGGAAATATATATATATATATATAATCACCACTTTGTACCCTTTAAATGTATTATGATTTTGTCAACTATTCCTCAGTAGAGCTAAAAGAAAAAAAAAAAACTAATCCATCCAGTGGGCAAGAATCTATATCAAATACATTTTCAAGCAACTTTATCCTGTTAGAGAATAATGTTATATATTCTTTTTCTGAAAACGTACAATGTCCACTTTTTAAAAAGCTAAAGTTGTCGCTAATGAGCTTCAGAAATCAAATAGTTACATAGTCTTCACTTAGTTAACTTGATACACAAAGAAACTGATAAGCTGATGAATTTTTCTTCTATACCTTAATACAGAGTACAGATGAAAGGATATGATTTTATAAGTAAAAGCTGTAATTCTGACATATATATCTCTGTTACGTGAGCTCAACTGTGTTTTTATGAAAATTTGAAATAAAACAGTACAAGCAAGGCATTCAACATGAATTAAAAACATACTTCATGCCAGGACCTGCTTGGTATCAGACCATTTATCTCCTGTCTGTTCCATTCTTCCAGAATGTAACAGCTATCCAAGCAAGAGTCTTAAAATAAAAACAAGGAAATATTCAACCAATTCACACAACATTTTTCAGTGACTCATTTCTTCTCCAAGGTTTTATACTCACTGAAGCAGGAAAGATCTCCGACAACCCCTTTTTATCCTGAGAATTTATTTAGGAATTATTTAAATAGAAATAAAATTCAAGGGATTTCAGGGATCGACTGGCAATTTGACATGCAATATTCCTGCAAAATACCTAAAGGCTAAACTAGAGAAACAAAAAGCCTGCAAAAAAAACCTGCCCATTTAGAAGCTCCTGAATTTATAGCCAAGAAACATCCAGCCAAAGACACATGTTGACCTTAGTAACACCAATCTGGAAAATCAGATCTATAGGAGTAGGTCAAAGTATTCATGAGAAGGAACGTGCTTAGATTGACATTATACATTTTTTGTGTTTAAAGATCCTTTCCTAAAAGGGAGACACAGCAATCAAGGAGTAGTTTCCTCCTGTAAAATGGAGATAGAGTTTTCATCTTTTGTATCTTATCTGCGTTTTTTCTTAATACGGTCTCCTCTGCAAACGTTTACTTGCCTTTTGCTCACAGTTCTAGCCGCCTTGCATGAGTGTATTAAGTTTTGGCTGCTCCCCAGTGCTTGGTATCTCTTTAATTTGCTGTGCTGTTCTTGCAGAGCATGTTTCTTCTAATGCCAGCGATAGCGAAAGTAGCTACCGTAAGTTATTGCTTTGGTTGTGGTTCTTTTCTTTGCAACTTGCCTCATTGCCCGTGGTGGTCATTTCAGATTTTTGCTGTTGTGTTTCGATTGCTGCCCTTTATCATCTTCATCCAAAGCAAATGGCTTGAAATGAAATCATCATTTAATGTGGAAAGATACAAAAGACACTAGGGCCGTCGGTGGACTCTTATGTGATTTATGCAAGCAGTTCCAACCTCCGCTGACTGTGTGGCCTATGATGCAATTCTCCCAGAGAAGGTGGGGGGAAGTTCAACCCGGTAGATTTTGACATTCTGCCCCCTCCAAAATAATTTAAACTCTCTGCAGGAGGGTTGAAAAGTCATGGTTTTTGTTTTCCTTCTCATTTTGCCTTTTCCTTTCTGTTCCTGGCTCCCCTTTCCAAGAGAAATCTGTATAAATGACGGTGTTCCTTTTAAATCGAGCATGAACCTTTTATATCTCTTCTCTCCTTGGTTAATATTTTAAGGTAGATAACGATGCTATACCTAACTTTATATTTTTGATGGTTGGGAAGTGATGAAAAAGTTTCATCCTTTAATGTTGAAGGAACTCACGTTTTTTTTTTTAAGTGAACAAATCTTGGATCAGAAAGCTTAGCTGAAAAGGTAGGTAAACTACTTAAAAATTATTTCTGGTCTTTGTTTGGTCACCTCAAGCCATTTGCTTAGTGTATAAAAATATTCACGAAACACCAAGCACATCCTGTTGATCCATTCTATGGTTTCTTACCATCTACTTACTGGTTTTTGGTGATAAACATAGGTACATATTATTACTGGGATTTTTACAATTTCTATAATATTTGTACTCCTGAGTGAAATGGATTACTCAAACATCAGTTGCCAAGGATATTAAAAAATTGAAGGCCCAATATATATGACTCATAGC